TTTTTTTTACAAAACACCTCCAGGACTGACCTACTGTGTTTGAATGCTAAGGACCACAGTCTTTGGGAACATCTAGGTCAACTGGTACAACACAGTTCATAAAGATAATGTTCTATATCCAATATGGTGAACAGTATCTAGGGTCTTAAAAGCTTATGAGTATTCATCTAAAATGCAACTATTGGTCTCTTTCCATCTGGCGAAAAAGAGAATGAAGAAAACTGAAGACTTAAGGAAGCAATTACTCCAAAGGACTAATGACTCACATGAATCACAGCCCCCTCTAACCTGAGATGAGAAGAACTAGATGGTGCCCAACTACCATTACTGATTGCTCTGACCAAGAACACAATAAAAGATCTGGGTTAGAGTGAATGAAAAATGTAGAGAAAAATTCAAATTCATAAAAAAGACCAGACTTATTGGTCTGACAGAGACTGGAGGAACTCCCAAAACTATCACCCATAGACAACCTTCTAAATTGGAACTGAAGCCACTCCCGGGGCTTTCAGCCAAATAGTAGACTAACCACATCTACTGCCATAGAGTCAATTCCAACTAATAGTGATGCTATAGGACAAAGTAGGACTGCCCCTAGGGTTTCCAAGGCTGTAAATGTTTATGCAAGAATACTGCCTCATCTTTCTCTCAGGAGTGGCTGGTGGGTTTGAACTTCTGACCTGGTTATAAAATAGAGAATAACATCTATCAGGAATGTGCTCCTTAGAACAATTAACTATATAAGAGTAAAAGGGCAACACTTGCTCAGAAGCAAAAATGAGAAGGCAGGAAGGGGAGGGGAACCAGATGAATAGAAATGGGGGACCCAGGATGGAAATGGGGAGAATACTGACACACTGCAGGGATTGCAGTCATAGAACAACTTGCATATGAATTATTGAATTGAAAACTAAATTTCTATGTAAACTTTTAACTAAAGCACAATAAAATGTTAAAAAAAAAAAAACCCCGGTATATCTGTAAAATAGAATACAATAGTGAATAATGGACATCCTGGGGAAATAAGAGACTCTTCTGTGGATGTGGATCCTGTTTGTTGCCTACAACTGTCTGTGAGTGAACAATCTACCATTCAGCCAGGTGATCTTGGATCCGTCATCTGTCAGAGTCAACAGTCGGTATATTGCCTACCAACCTTGAGCTCATCAGCCCCTGTAGCTGCATGAGTCAGGAGAAACCTCCAACTTGATGTTTGGTCCAGGAACTTGGGACTTGCCAGCTTCTGTAAGTGTGTGAGCCATTTTCCTAAGACAAATTTCTCTCTCTATATATATATATAAGCTTTACTGTTTTTTGCTTCTTTAGAGAAACCAGCCTAACCCAAATACGTATTATGTGTATAAGAGAAAATTATCAAACACTGCAGATGAGAAAAAAATCTGAAGAAAATGTTTAAAAGATAATAAGAGTGTTATGGCAATGGGGTGGTGGATGAGTATTAATTTTATTATTTAAACTACTTAGAAAATTAACAGTGAAACAACACTTATTTGTAAGTCAAGTCCATTCCTGGGAGATTATCTGCATTTGACACAGGACACATTCTGCCATTCCTGCTTCCCTTCCTCCCTTATTTCTTCCTGTAAGTGCAGACACATTTCTCCACATTTTCTCTAGGGAAGCCTCTTGGTGACCTTGTGTACCAATCAAGAGTTCTAGTAAGCACAGAGAGGAGCTGGTGCCAAACTGCCATCAGAGTCTCTCTGACTTCTCCACTAATCATTCACTGTGCTATAAAAAGGCTTGGTGGGAGCAGCTCTCCCACCAACTGCCAGTTCATCATAGGAGGGCAGTGGAAGTGTTAGTCTCTATGGTTCTCTGAGGTTCATAGCTCAAAAGTTCTTGTTCTAGGTGTAGGGAGGAAACGTGGCAGCAATAACAAAAGGTGCCTTGGATTTCCTCACATTTATACCTACAAAGAGCAACAAAAAACAAAGAAGATAAAACAAATGTCATACTAATCCAAGTGAAATCAGGATTTCATGTAGATTGGATATTTGGATTTCTACTAAATGCCCTCCACTCACTCTGTAGTCTCTATTCACATCGCTGAGCTGCCAATAGTTATTAGGGAGGCCCATCCGCTTGTACTCTTCACTGAGGTCAATCAGTAGCCAGCCTTGTTCTCTCTCTTCTTTATCAAGCTTGGGGTTGAATGAAAAGCAGTACAGCTCCTCATATTTCACTGCAAGAGAAGGGAGAATATAGCCAAATCAAGTTAAGTCAAAGCTGGAACCACAGGTCCCAAAACCACTGTGCCTGGTCCAACTCCCCATCTCATGGCATACTCCCAGGAGCACCCTGTCTCAGTGGAGAGGGTCACTCTTCTTCCCATCAGTGAGAAGAAGTCCTCAGGGCATCTGGACATGACTTTAAAAGACCTTTTTTCCTCTTAGAAAACAGGGCCTTCTCCATTTTCTGCCACCCTCTTTTTTTTTTTCTTCCTTTTTTAGTTGCTTTGAAAGCAAATATATTTCCCAGAGACTACATAAAATGTGTAGCATAAAAGTTAACTAAGAGCCCATGTACTCATTAGACATCAACATTTCAATTTTCTTATGAAGACTTCTTTCAAGCTGGGAACTTGGATG